GTCTGTTGGGAAGGAAAATTATTCATGAAGAGATTCTTTGTTTTATTATTAAATCTTCGCAAGCTTAAATTTTTTAAAAAGGAAAACGCAGTTTTTAAGCACAGCTTGTTTAAACTGGAAGCGAATTAAAAAGCAAACCCAGCATGTTATTCCCCACAGGGAGACATTCACAACGACGGGCATAAAACAAAATTAATTAGTTGGTAGCATGACAACCCTGTCTTACATCAGCACGCCATCGTGGCTGCTGGGAAGATGTTTATCCCTCTCAACCTGGGCTGTTAGCCATGACAGGTAGAGGCGATGCAGCCTGCCTCCTAAATGATCTACTTTCTGTCGATGACGTCGTAAAACATAACAGAGTTACATTTGTTCTCTCTGAGAATTCCTGTGTGGCAAGCCCTCGATTCGTTTTCCTTGACAAAAATGAAAACTGGGTTGTTGTTTTTGGTGTTGATTTTATTTTCAACATAATTAGATTAAACCCGTGCTCATTTGCACAGTTTTAAGATTTCTTTCGCCGAGGTTTATTTTCCTTGATTACGTTCACACCCCACCAGTGATTACCCTTCTAAAAGACGTCATCATTGTCAGATCTTCGTTTGTCGGTGGTTGCTCTGAAGTGCATGTACCAATTGAACGGCCAGGCCTAGATGGGGAAGGAGGGGGGGGGGGTCTCGTGGCCCAGAGGTTAAGGTGTTCGCCTCTCATTCAAAGGTCCCGCGTTCGAATCCGGGTAGCGACAGAACATTTTCTTCGCTATATTTGTCTCCTTTCACCTCCTTTCCTGCCCTTTAGCTATGTTGTGTCGTCTGCTTTTGTCTCCTCTTTCTGCTCCCACCCGTTCACCTCCTTTGCCCCCTCCTCTGGGCTCCTGACTCTTTCTTCAGCCTTTGTACTGCTACTCCATGGCTCCTTTTTACCGCTGTCTTTCAGCCACAGCCCTGAACTTCTGGTAAGAAAGATGTACACTTAGCCTTCTCGGATAAGGGCGAAAAATCTCGGAGGGCCTGTGTGCAAGTTACGCACGTTAAAGATCCCTTGATGGTCTAAAATCGATAAGAGTAGGCTTCGGCCGCCACCCGGGCAAAATTCAAAATTTCTTACCAACAGAGAAAGTTTAATGTGCCCCGTGCGTTCATATGACCGTATGCAGTTGCGAGCGCCGTAAAACACTTACCAAAAAAATAAAACCAACCTAGATGGGAGACAAAAAACCCTTGTCTTGCGATAACGAGGCAGACTTCTCAACCCGCTCGCTAGAGATTCACGCCTCAAAGTACAAGATCATTTAAGGGTTTGTTATATTTGTATAATGATTTTTTATGAGGGGGGGTGTTTTTGTTTTTGTTTTTCTATTTTGCTAATAGGTTATCAAATGTTGTTTCAGGACTTTTAACGGGAGCAAATTCACAATGAGTTATCAAATACCGTATTATTTCATAACTTTTGGGGCGAGAGAGTTACTCCTTGGTGTGTTCGTTCAAAACGTGTCACAAGGGTAAAAACTCCTAGTATGTTATCAAATATGCTTTCAACTTTCAAGACTTAAGGCGTGGGAGAATTCCTTTCAGTACGATACCT